GTTAGGCTTAAACCGAATTCAATTACTACAAGTTTTTGTTGACATATCATCTCCGACGATTTAAACATAGAAACATCACTTGTTACAAATTTAATTCAGTATGATCTGTTTTTCGTCAGAAGTACATTTTGGTTTAAAAAATAATTAAACTTGTGGTTTCAATTCCTTTTATAACATTACGAAGAAATTGGTAACGATAACAAGAATATAAATTTGCTAGTTTATCTGTAAAATGTTTGTGAGCTTCAATATTTAAATAAATAATTAAAAGACAAACATTTCCAAGTAAATTAAGGAAAATTGTTTCTGCAGTAATGAAATACAAAATTTAGTGACCAGTTACATGGGAAATAAAGAATTATTACTGGCCTGACTAATTATATAAAGCATATATGATATTATGCCCAACCGAAAAAGTTATTTTCATCAATTCCGGTTTGTTTACAATGTTCAGTATAGGTAGTGTCATTACCGATTTGTTGTGATCGCAAAAGATTCTTTAACATAAATCTAATCAGCCGTAACTATGCAGCCCAATAATTTTATTTTAATTATAATATGGTTTAGGCTTGCATCAAAATATTCGGATACGACAATTTTAACAGAGCACAAAAAAAAAAAATGAATACATACCCAATGAGCATGTAGATCATAGTACATATATTGGAACGTAACACACGGACATATGCGGCACTCCTGAAATTTCCATCCGTCAACCTTATTGCTATTGAATAGAAGTGGATAAAAATTAGAGTTAGAAGAGGAAGCCCAAGATAACGACTTTTACTTTTGATGAATGATGAAGATCCTGCGCAGTTATAGAGTAAAAATGTATTATCTATACATAATTAGGAATGATATTGTTGAATTTGTTCGATTATATTTAAATAATAAGACTTCTTATTAAAAACATTTTCCAATATTTCCGTGCAATATTTAAGACCGAGAAGATTTTTATAAAATTATAAAAAGACGTGTTTCAAAAATTCACATCTGAAAAAAAAAAAGATGTTAAAAAAAAAGAAATATTTAAAGCGGCGGCAAAAGGTGATGCAATTGAATAAGAATAGCTTCAGGTGGAAATGGTAATAAATTCCAGCAAAAGAATTATTTCAGCGACCCTGAATTCTTGTAGTCTGAAATATTATATATGATCTATTTGGTGACGGTGACGTAAATTTTTTTATTTGCGAAAGAATAGTTCTTTAACCAATAAAAAAAATCTTTTGACTAAGACCAAAAATGTACTATAGTTTAGCAGTAGTTACGAGGGAGGATTATTTTCACTAGAGTAAACAGTCCCTATAAAAATGTTCGCAACCGGTTAATTAACCAGTTAAATATTTAGCCTACCCGGCATTTTAAATTTGGCCAGAGCTATTTTACAAATCTTAATTCTGGCCGAAACTTAATTTCGGTCGGAGTTAAAATCAACCATTTAACCGATTAATTATCCAGGCAATATATATTTTTCTCCGACGTATACTTAACTTAAATATTTGTCTCATAACTTAAATTAATAACTTCTAATAATCATAATGTTACGTTGAATCCATTTTGTCGTTATCTTGCAATAGTCCCTTAAATTTTATCTATTATTTAATCAAGTCATACATATGCCAAGTGAACCATTACTACAAATAATCAGGAGAAAAAGAAAATTTACAAGACACTCATCTTTACTCTGTATAAAACGGGCAAATTTCGATCATGAATATTTTTCAAAAGAGTCATTATTTGCATTTTTTTTTTTTTTTTTTATTTTTTTTTTAAGATATAAATATATCCTATATAAAATATATAATCTCTTGCAATGCTCAAATTTTTACGCGATATTTTATGCAAGAATCATTAAATACTAAATTTTAATAAAATTGAACATTTATCTTACTAAACTTTAAGCTTGACACGGATTATCTAAAAAAAAAAAATAATAATAACGATAAGTTATTCCGATCTTGGTAATTGTTTTTAAACTTTACTAATCATTTGACTGAACCATCCCTTTTTTATGCACTATGCACGCGGCTAATCTGATCTTGAAAATATTTTACCTGCTAAAACTTTTCCACAATAGCAAAAATGCGAGTCACGAGTTGACGAATCCAATCAAATCAAACAAGATGATATTGTATGTTTAATTTTCACCCTTATCAAGTCTGACGAGTTCTGAGTCCGATAATAACTCACGCCCTTCTTATAAAACCATGTTATTAACGAACCAATTGAACTAATATACTACATTCAAAAATAATGTGTTTTGTTTTCAATTTCGTTACTAATTCAAACACACAGTAATTACTAATGTTTTCAAACATGTCATTAAGATAAATTCGCCTATATTACTAACCGAAATTAATATTATTTCGCCATGGGAATGTTACGGAATCAAAGCTTATTTTCTCAAATACTTGCTTTACATTATTAATAGCAATTATGCGCTATGTAAACGAACCTGAACAGACGAATAGAACGATATTGGTTTTTGGCGTAAATATCTTACAAAACTTTGTCTCAAAAGTGTCTTATTACAAAATAGCTGAATAATGCACTTTCTTTAAGAAACAAAACCTAATGTAAAGTTACCAAACAAAAGAATGAAACCAACCGATAAACAAATAAATCCAAGACCCAAGATTCTGATGATTCAAATTTTTTTTTTATAACTAATGAAGGTATGTTTCATTACACTATGAAAGATGCAAATCTCTAAAGAATAAAATTTATGAATTAAGTAAAAAAAATTTACTTCCGTCAAAAAAATAAGGATCTGTTAAAGTTTCCAAATGTCAATCGCAAAAAATCATGACGTAGGCTATTGATTCAACTTATTTATTTATTTATCCCTATATCATACCATAATAGATTAAGCCTAATGCAATTAAATTATTTTTAAGAGAGGCGCTATTTTCGATGATGATGTGATGTTTTGTAAAATGAATGAATTTACTCAATTTAGAAACGTTAAAAGGTTGTAAACGGTTCTAAATTTGTAGATCATCTTTACATGATAATTTTGTGCCGTAACTCCGATCTGAATTCACGACGAGAATTTCCAAATTAAATTTGAGAATAGATAAATTAAAAAAATTGTATATTTTAAATTTTTCGAAATTTGCAGTCACTAAAAATACTAACCATTGAATTACATAAAAAATTTTAAATTTATTATTAATTTTATCAAAAGTATATTTAAATAATCCAATTCAAGAAATAATTAAAAGCTTATAAAACTTAAAGTTATAACATATAGGCATAATAATATTCAGATTTTAAAATAACAGATTTTTTCTTTGTTCATCATGTCTCTTCCCCCCAAATGTAAATTTTCGAAATGTGATTTGATATGAAAGAATAAATTTAACGATTTATAAATTATTGTTATTTAACATTGTCGATTTTCAAATATGTTGAGAAAAAAAAAGATTTCGATAAAACAAAATAATTTCGAATAAAAAATTTTATTTTTTATTGGTCATATCCATATATAGTTTAGGATTCGTTTACGGGAGCACTTTTATTTTTCGCCGTTAATTCATCATTTGATTCGTTTACGGGGTCATTTTTCAAAGGAACTTTTGTTTCAATTTTATTGCGCGCGTACTCTTGCAATTTCTGATCTCTATCTATTTGATAACGTCTTTGCAATCTTGCTTTTTCTTCCGCAGGAATATTTTTCCACCATGCAGATACTAACTTGCTATATTTTGTCATAGGCATATTATGGGGTTTATATTTCATCATATCTTTGCGATACATTATGAACATATTAGGCTTTCTCCTTTTTGGAATCTTTTCGGGTGAAGATAATGTCTCAGGTTCAATAAAATAGAACATTATTACTAACGTCGATAAATTAGTTGGTAAGATGAAGGAGTGCCCGAAGACGATAAATCGAAATTCGCCACATTTATAAAAAAATTTAAACTTGTTGGGCAAATATTCATCCTGATGAGACAATGCATCTTTGAAGTTGTATACAAATAAATATTATCGTTACATAATTCGAACCAGAATTATAGTTCCGCCATTCAAATTCTCTCTATCCAACTTTAAGAAGAGTTGTACACTTCGCTGTGTCAGATGATCATCAATTGAATTTAGTTAGACTAAGACTTCAAAAATTGAAGTGACTTTTTTTTTATTTTTATTTTTATTTTTATTTTTTTTTTTTTTAATTAGATTAATAAAGTTAAATTCTCTAGAAGATTATGTATAATTCTCTTAAATATAATTAAATAATTTCAAAAAGTAAATAGGAAATTTATCATATACTAACTTGAACCGTTGCTATTTTGGGATGATTAACGCCCTTTATTGCAACTTACCGGTTTATCTCCGAAATGAACTTAAAAGGTATTATTATAATTTTATTTTTTTTAAAAAAATTTTTTTTTAAACCATGTAGATACTAACTTGCTATATTTAGTCATAGGCATATTATGGGGTTTATATTTCATCATATCTTTGCGATACATTATGA